GTCATTGAGGTGTGTTGAGATTGTGTACCCTCAACTGCCGAGGAGAATTGTCTCAGCCATTGAGAGTGTATACCCTCAACACCCAAGAGGAATTCTCTCAGCCGCTGAGGTGTGTGTGTACACCTCAACGGCCGAGGCGGTTTGCATTGGCCGTTGAGAGTGTATACCCTCAATGGCCAAGAGGATTCCTCTTGGTCACAGAGGTGTACACTCTTGTGGCCAAGGGGTCAACTCCCGGCCGTTGAGAGTGTACCTCAGCGGTGTAGTGTGCCAAATGTGTTTCAAGTACCAAATTGCATAAATTCATGATCCACTCTTGATAATAGACTATATTATTGATTTTATTATTGCATATTTGAATTCTTCATCAAATTTGACCTATAGTCAATCACTGGAACCACTAGGCTAGCTCAACTCAGTCAGAAGTTATTTAGATGTTAAGGTTATGATAGAAAATGATTACAAAGCATAGTGGTACATTGGTAGTGCATAGTATAGATTTAGAGATAGGTAAATGGTTAGGGCTAGAACCACAATCTAGCCATTTTTGAAATTATCAGTTAGGGCTAGAACCACAAGCCAGCCGGTGTGTAAATAGACTATATAAGCAGGCCTCGTTGCATCCCTCAGTTCTAGTTCCTCATGCAATCCCAGCATCAACATATATCTCACTTGGAGATTTCAACCCATTCATAGGGGTGATCTCAAACAAGTATCTCATCATCACACAGCCTGGCCAGCTGTTGATCATCTTCATCAAACCCCCCTTCTTCAACACCTGTGATCTTAATCAGGTTCTTAGATAGCTTGTCTCATAGCACTTCATATATATCGATTGCTCTAGTTCTGATAGAGACTACTACATAAAGGTTTCTCTATATAGGTTTTGGCACATCAATATATAAATTTTTGTTGTCAGAATTCTTGTTTAGTACAATAGAGGGTCAGGTCTTTCAGACCACCCGTAACAATATATATCAAACAAGCACAATATCATATTTTTTATTTCCCCCTCACAGGACTGCCACCATTCCCAAAGGAGTTCTCACAGCGGCTGGGAGGAATCAGGTAGACTAGAGAGCTTGGTGATAATGATGAAGAAAGAAAGAATGGAAAAGATAATAAGTAACATTTTTTTTTGCTTGGAGGATTGTTGACAACTGGTTTGAATCAAAGTTTGAGTTGCTCAGCAGTTGTCAATTACAGACCTGCGCTTGAGTATGATGTTTGAGTGACTGTTTGATTGTTTCATTATCCAGATAAGTCGTTTGTAAGGTGATGTTGGCAGGGAAGTGGATGGTCAACTGATGATCATCAATGATCAGTGGTCAAGAGGGTAGCTTGTCCCTGAGTGTCACAGTAGGGTGTCACCAAATTTGAGCCCGGTGCGCAGGGGTACAGATTTTTCTGTCTACCCACTGTACACCAGCTTGTCGGGAGGAATCCCTCCCGGCGATCTGGTACACAATCCAGCTTGCTGGGAGGGATTCCTCCTGACGATCTGGGATAAATACCCTCTTGTTGGGAGGGGTTTCGCCCAACAAGAGGGTAGGTTTCAGGATATTTGGTGTGATGACTGTCGCCAGGTTCTGCAGGTCCATCTTTGAGCCTGTCTCCTCATCCAAATGTGAGAATGAGGCGACCCATTTCATCGTGACAAATAGTACCTCCATTGTGTCTTGGTGCGCCTTTGGTAGCAAGCAACATATCAGATGCAGTGTTTTCCGTCATGCAGCATCATTTTTGACCCCTGTTGAGTTGAACAATGTAGAACATGAGAAATCCATAATGATAAATCTAGG